GTCCTGTTAGACCCCATTCACACTGAGCGACATGGAAATCGCGCGACTTCGAGCGACGTGTCGCGCGACATCTTCCTATTGGGCTGTGAGCAATATCGCTCAAAATCGCTCTAAAAAAGGGTCATGTAGGAGCGACGAGCTACAAGCGATATTGAGCGACGAGATGTGAACAGCTCCATTGAAATGTATTGGTGAAGCTACATAGAGCCATATCGCTGCAAAAATCGCGCGATAAAATCGCTCAATGTGAACGGGGCCTTAATGTGGATTGACGCCGGAGGAAGTAGCCGTCTAACTTGCTACCACACAGGGGCTTGTTATCTCCTGTGTGATAGCAATAAAGTTAGGTGGAAAAAAAAATTACATTGATTTAAAATATATATATATATATACGCGGGGGGCGTATTGTGGAACCTGGCCTTGGGGCGGCAGGGGGGAGTAAATCCGGCACTGGATGTGGGCGTGTTCTATGTGGCACGGATATGGGCGTGTTCTATGTGGCACGGATATGGGCGTGTTCTATGTGGCACGGATGTGGACGTGGTCTATGTGGCACAGATGTGGACGTGGTCTATGTGGCACGGATGTGGGCGTGTTCTATGTGGCACGGATGTGGGCGTGTTCTATGTGGCACGGATGTGGACGTGTTCTATGTGGCACGGATGTGGGCGTATTGAATGGCATATGAGCTTTATATTTGGCCTTCAGTGATTGGTACCTCTCCCATCAGCTCCGCATGGACTTTGGAAACCCCGTAGATGGTCCTCGGCCTCTGTATACACAGGTCGGGAGTCGGGTCCCTCGGTGAGGTCGGTCCAAAGGCTCCGATCGTGCTCGGGACAAAGAGCCGCAACCCGTGTTCTGCCGCAATGTCCAGAATATTGTGTAAACCTGAAACCGACACGAGACGTGAAATCCGGGGACACGGCACACGGGTCAGAGGTCTGGAATGGGCCCCTAGATCACTCAGCACATCACTGGGCGGAATGGGCCCCTAGATCACTCAGCACATCACTGGGCGGAATGGGCCCTAGATCACTCAGCACATCACTGGGCAGAATCGGGCCCCTAGATCACTCAGCACATCACTGGGCGGCATGGGCCCCTAGATCACTCAGCACATCACTGGGCGGCATGGGCCCCTCGATCACTCAGCACATCACTGGGCAGAATCGGGCCCCTAGATCACTCAGCACATCACTGGGCAGAATCGGGCCCTAGATCACTCAGCACATCACTGGGCGGAATGGGCCCCTGGTCCCCTTACCGGTGATATTGACCGATCTGGCCAAAGCGACATTCGCCTCGCCGACGGCACTGAGCAGCGCGCTGTAGTGGATTAACCAGGTGATGCGATTATTCACCACGATTTCCCGGAGGTTCTTGTAGTCCAGAATGTCGGAGTAGATGAACGGACCTATTGAGGGCCAATAAAAAGATCCGTCACCTGCTGACCCGTCACCGCGCCTTGCGAATTATAAAATTGGGGGGGGAAGCCGTCAGACGCGCCCTTCCCCAAACCTGCTCCTGAGATTCCCAACCACACCCGGGGTGACAACAGTCCAGGAGCCGGGATTCCCAACCACACCCGGGGTGACACAAGTCCAGGAGCCGGGATTCCCAACCACACCCGGGGTGACAACAGTCCAGGAGCCGGGATTCCCAACCACACCCGCGGTGACACAAGTCCGGGAGCCGGGATTTCCAACCACACCCGCGGTGACACAAGTCCGGGAGCCGGGATTCCCAACCACACCCGGGGTGACACAAGTCCGGGAGCCGGGATTTCCACAGCAAACACACACACACACACACACACATATTATATACACACACTGGTCCCACCCCGAGACTGAAGGGCCATACCATAGATGAATGAGTACAGCCCCTCTGATCACTTCCACAGGCCAGTGCATATCGGACTACCCTGGGGGGTTCTGCTGCCCCCCCCCCGAGGGCATGGTGTGGGCAGAGAATGATCAGGGAACATCCATACGCTGATTGTCCCTGTGATGGATGAACCTGGAAGCGACGAGGATTTCATCACCTCCCGTGTCTGAGCTGTTATATCCCGACCCATGTGACCGGGGATAAAGCTGATCAAGCGACGATCTGTACTTGATCCGCTTTATTGGGGTGTAGGGGGTCTAATGTCTCCATAAAGAGAACCTGTCACCACTAATGTGCGATCACCCGGGGGGAACGGGTCACAAAGTTTGCACCGCAATGCACTATGTGGCGTGCTGCAGTGTCTGTACATTGCCTTAGTAGCAGGGGTAGGCAACCTAATTGGGCTGTTCAGGTCTCTTTTATGTCTGCTACCAAATTGATCAGATGTCTGACCCCCTCTGCACATGGGCTGCACCTCCCTATCCAGGCGAATGCGTTACAAACTCTCCCGACTGTAAAATAATATTTTGGCTTTTAATGGGATGGGGAGCGGGGGAAGGGACGGGGGACCCCTTATAATGTGACGTCCCGGGAACGCCGCGCGGCGACCTTACCGCTATAGAAGACGCTGTCGGGGGGTTTGCGGATATCGGAGAGGATCACATTGTTTTTCCCGAAGCTTTTCCTAAAAAAAAAAAAAACAGAAACAGGCACAGCTGTCATTTCGTGTCTCCAGCTATGAGGTCCCCCACATAGGGCCACACACGGGGCTTTCAGTTTGGGGGGGGGGGGGGAAGTTCATCACCCCACAGATTCG